AGGATGGCTGCTCTATAGAACAGTTGTAAGGATGTTTTTATTTGTTTCTGACTCTGTAATGTGTTACAAATAATGCTGTTTGGAGTAAAAGAAACTCCTATGTGGTCCAATCTACTGTCTGTCCCATTAGGATAGTTTTCATTCTTAGAACTGTGTGAAACTTAAGGGAGCCAGTGTGCCCAGTACATTAAAAAAAAAAAGTACACAACGAAAGGTGATGTTTTTCTGCTTCTTAAATAAGCTGTGATGTTAGAATTGTGAGTGATTAGATCCCGTTCTAAAATGAAAGGTAGGGGGATAAAAAAGGTAGGGAGTAAAATTTCTGTAGCTATGATTGAACTTGTCTGATAATAGGACTTCCATTGTAACTGTAGGAAAATCTTTGTGCCTGCTGGACTTGTTTTTTTGTATTTAGAGAAACTTAGGTTACTGCTGAGGAGAGTAAGCTGCAACCTAAAACTGTCTCAAGGCATCACAGCTGGGAGAGTACCTTACACTGAGCTAGGTCCCCTTCTTAGCTGCAGGTTAAGTTTGGATTGTACAAGGCCTAGGCTAGCCTTAAATAGGTGTTTCTGAGAAGCAATACAAACTAGGAATCAAATGCTTTAAATGTGAACAAATTCCAATTAAGAAGCACTCAGATTAATAAGTGAACACTAATTATTTTCATATATGCACAAGCAACAGTTGGTGTAAATAGATTTCTTTAAAACATGAAGGTTTGAGAATACATCTTATGTCCCAGAGATTGGTATTGTATTTTTTGTCTGTTGTGCAATAATACAGCTTAAATGGTATCACTCAACAATGATGCTTTTGATACTTGAAAAGAAATTACTGTTTATTTTTTCTTACTGTGAAATATTTGCACTGTCTGAACTTCCTGGTTGACTTTATAACTGTTACACTTTTTTACTGGTGTTAATTTATTGTGCTCGGTAATTAATATGCTTGTCTCCTGTCTGTGAAAGTGTGAAGTTTGTTATATTTAAGTGAATATTTTTATCTTCTACACAGCTGTTTCTCTTGAGGGCTTTTCTTCTTTTATTCTCTCTTCCTGAGAATTAAGTGAAAGATGGCTTAAAAAGTCAATGCTTTCCTACTTCTGAATTGAATGCATTAATTAAAGAAAGAGGCTGTAGTGTGTTGTACCTACAGGGAAAAACCTGTCAGAGCTCTTGTGATCAGATTCATCAGTACCTGCTGAGTAGCTGCATCAGTGAATCCAGTGAAGTAAAACTAATACTGCCTTAATAATCTGAGACTTCAGTCTTAATTTCTTTGACATGCAGCCCTTCAACTGGCTGTGAACTGCAGAACTGGACGTGACTTTGGGGAGGGGAAGGTATTTGAGCAGGCAAAATCCAACACATTGGTGCATTAGCAGCTGTAGCTGTGTTGGAACTGCCAAGAAATATGTCAAGTTCAATTGAAAGTGAGAATGAATTGGTGACTGACAAAAAGCATATCTGAGTAAAATGGACTACCTCAGTTCTGTTTGTCTTTGAATTAAACTTTTAGCCTGCTGTGAACTTCCAGATCATAAGATAGATTAAGTAAAAATATGTCTCAGGTTTTTAAGAGCAAAAGAAATACAGTAGGAAGCATAAGCCATTTTTGAGTGCAGAACACAGCTAAAATTGTAGCTTAAACCAGTCAGTGATGTAGCCTTAAGTGTAGTTTCCCCAGAAAAAGTTAGTTTTGAATAAATACAAAGTTTTCAGGCAGCTACTTTAGGTGTTCTGAACATAATGTGGCAAGTCCATCCTATTTCATCTCTTACATTTGAAAACTTTGAAATATAGCCCAAATAAACCTTTGTGTTTTCACTAGAGTAGACAGGGCAGCAGGAGCCCTGAACTAGTGCTCAGAGAAAGGAGTTAGCTTGTCTGTAGCAGAAACATTTTCAGTGGATTAAAGCCTGCAGTTTGAATTTTTAAAAAACATTCCATGTTTGCTTATGGAAATGAATTAGTCTTGTGTTCTGTTTTTACTCCAGCAGTTCAAATTTATAATATTTCAATTAGGAGTCGAGGCAAGTCATACTTGAGGAACACATTTTTGTAGTGTTACAAGGACAGCTTTTGGCTGGAATATGCAGTAAGTAAAGTTACACTGAAAAGCAGGTAATTAATTTCTCATTTCAAGAGGGGGAATGTCCCAGCCTTAGATGTAGGTTAATTACCAAAAGAATTTTGACCCCATTAATGGACTGTCGGTGCAATGCAGCCTGTTCTTTTTGCTGCACACAGTAACTTTGGGAGATGCATGTCCCTTAAGAGCAGATGTATCCACAATCCCTTCCAAGGGCCAGTTGTTTTTAAACCTTCCTGTCCTGTGAATCTTTCTGCTTGAGTGTATTTCACTGGAGTGGAAGGAGTGTGCCCTTTCTTCCCCACATTTCCTAGGAGTGATGTTCAGCCCCTTGAGCAGGTTGAGGTCTTTCCCTGCAAGATTTAACAAGCAGCTTTCACTTGGCTGAATGCATCCTCCTCAGGGTTTGGGGCTGTTTGTATATTAAATAATGTGGTCTCACACTACCAGACTTCCAAAGTTCAAATGTTGCCTTTTTAATGTGAAGCTTACCTTGGAGATAAAACAATGGTTGTGAGAGAACTGGCTGACCTTTAAAAAGTGTTTCCTATTTTGGTACAGAATGTAAATATATAACAAACTATTTTACATAGAGTTTGACTGGATTGAGATATAAGGGCTAATTTTTGTTATTTATGGAGTAAAAATTTCCTTATTTTGCTGTGTAAAAAAAAAAAAAGTATGTCATACAAAGGAAGAAAAAATTGTTCATCAATAAAATGTATGTAGAAAATTGACTCTTTGTGTCCTTATACTTGAGAGCTGATAATTATTAACTGCAAGAATAAGCACAGTAAATGGCCTCCATCACAACAGTCATTTATTTTTAGAATTTTGAAAAGTTAAATTTACATCAAGTCTGCATACTGATGATTTACTGATTTATTAAACTGTTATTGGATACACTTTGCATGTAAAATGTTCTATATTATTATTAGCTTGTACATGACTTACGAGAAGCTTGGCCTGCCGGTGAGGTAAGAAGGTTCCTCTATTCTCTATCCCATCCTCATGTATTTGATACTTAAAAATTATACAATATTTAAGTCTTTTCCCACCTGAAATGGAAGATTGAAACTCTGCTTTGTGTAAAGAGTTTGGCCACATGATTCCCATTTCAGCTGGAGGAATGCTGGCATGTTCCTGTGGAGTCCCGAGCCATTGGCTGTGACAGGACTGGGAGCTGGGAATGCTGAGCAACCTTTGCTGCTGTTCCACAGGGATCTGTGATGCTGCAGCCACTCTTTGGTACCCAGCCAGCTTTGCTAGCTGAAACACTGAGATTTTTGCATTATATTTATAATTACAAGTAATACATATATATATATATCTTACTCTGACAAATGTGAAAGATATAACAACATTCGTCTAAAATGCAGAGCGGAGACGATTTTCTAATCTAGCTTTTTTTTTTTTTTCCCTTAAGCAATATGACAGCAACTACATAGAGAGATTAAAAAACTTCTTGCCTTCCTCTGCTATTTTGGAAAATCAGATAAAGCAAAGCGAAAGTAGGTTACTCCTCCTTTTTGTTTGCCTTGTCTCAAAATAGGAGTCTTTCAAAAGGGTATTAAAGCTTAGAAAATGTGCCACTGTTCATTTCAGAGATGGCTTTAACTCTGAAAAACATCAGGTATGTAAAGTTACCTAAGTACAGCTATAAGGTTTAAAAAATGTTATGTTTCTAAAATTAACACCATTGGTAGCAAAATAAAAAACCAAACTGGTCTATGAACCAGTTTGTGCTTAAAATTCAGAAGGAGATATAGAGATCTCTTCCAGGGTGTGAAATGTGTTAAGCTACAGCATGATCAGGACATTAATCTACAGCCTGGGAAGATGTGGGAGCTGCACTGCTGTCAATCCAGTGGAGTTTCCCAGAGGAGTTAAAATGCAGCCTGGTTTCAAATGCAGTTCTACAGGATTTCTGTGCGTCTGTAGCGGTCACTTTCATGCATGTATAAAAATTGGTCAAGTATCACAGAAGTTTTTTTCATTGTTACTTAAGTCCTCAAAATAGCAGCATTGCACCAGCTGCAGGATGAGCCATGCACACACCTTCCTCCTCAACCTCCAGTTCTTCCTCCCTCAGCTAGTACCCACTAATGACTATGACTTCTTGGGAAATCCTGATGCTAACATAAGTTTATGTGGTTATTAATGCTTTTTTTTCTGTATATAACAGAGTGCAGTAAGTCTAACAAAGGTCAGACTACTAACAAGGATTCCTAGTGTCCTGAATTTAAAACCAACAAACAAAAAACCCCAAGCCCCCTTCTTTTTTCTTCCCCTGCTCCTGCAACTGATTTATTTATACATCTACTGAACATTCATGTGTGTCTGAACACAGTAACAATAACTATTTTTCCAAAGAGGCTTCCACTGGAAAATAAAATCAAGGAAGGACTAAATGTCACAAAATACAAAATATTATTTGTATTTGAGGAGAATCGTTGAAATCCAACATTGGCCCATGTGATTGCATCTTATTCCTGTCAGAGCTTTTTCTTTTTTAACTATAAATCTTATTTGGGTGACTTGTTCATTTTTTTTGCATCTTGTGCTGTTCTGTAAGTAATATTAGTAGGCAAAATGTTGAGGTTCACATGAGCTAGGCTGAGCTCTTGTTATGGAAATTACAAGGGGAACTGCTTTCAATCAGCAAGAAAGTAGTTCTAAGGAAATGGCCAAATTTTACTCAGATCAAATGCTGTTAAATTGTACATTCATTTCCTGTTCCATGGGTACAATGCTAAAATGAAAGGCAGATTTTTGCCCCCAGAATGAGGATACTGAAAGACATTCTCTTTGCTCTTACAGCAAGTCTTGTCACACAACCTGTTTCTCTTATTTAAATGTTTCCAGAAGTCCTGGGAAGATGAGGAGCAAGAGGGGAGAGGGGGATTCTAAATGTGCTCCGGGTGGTTCTGCAGGCACATGATGAAATCCTGGATCGATTGACCCTCGTAGCAGATCTTGTAGATGGTTGTAAATAATGGATACCTGAAAGAAACACATAGCAATGACAATAGTTGTTAAAGGTTATATAAACGTTTCTATTCCATTTATAATAGAAAAAAAAAAATTTTTTTTGTTTTTGGGGATGGATTTGGTTGGTTGTTTGGGTTTTTTTACATTGAAAGGAAAGGAAAATTTTTCTCCCTTAATTCTAGCCTGGAGGTACCTTTATATAGGCAATTAAGAGAAGCTAGGGGTAGTTCTAAGGGGTGAGAGCAAAGAGCTGTTTTGGAGTACAAATTTCTATCCAGTGTATTTCTTTAAAAAAATCTGGAATTTCATATCCTCTTTTTCCTCCTGTGTTCAAAATGTGTATTAATTACTGGTATCTAAAAGACTAAAGAAGGATTAAAATGTCTAATGATTTTCTTTTCCTGACTTAGAGGGTTCTTTCCCTTTTGCAGGCTTAGTCAGTATGTGGTAAAAAATGATTCCACTGAATGACTTGGAGCTGAGTATGTAACTAAGTGCAATTATAAGGATACTTTCTACATAAAATTTTGATGTAAAGTTCATGTCCTGTCAAAACGAGCTTTTCTTTCTCATTTCTGAAAGATAATGCCACTTGAATACACTATGTATCTGTTATAAGTCTAATAGGATTTTTTTAAGTATTCATTTAGCAGCATTTGACCTGTCAGAACTGCTAACATGTGAGAGGGAATGGGATGGAGGGAAGTTTAGCTCTTCTGTTGTGTAAGCGGAGACAAAGCTTTCAAATGATAAATAATCTTACTTTGCCCCAGATAACTAGAGCACTAAAGCACTGGTATCAGCAGACATTATCTATAAAATGCCTATAAAATGTTCTGATTAGGAGTTACCCTTACACTGGACACTGAGATAACCTCCTTAACATTTGCACTGAGAGTAGTACTGCTGGAAGCTGTCCTGGTGGTACACTGAGAACAAGAAACCCTTTGCCCCACAGATCATCTCTGCAAGCTGTGTGTGTGCCCTTTAGTCTCCTTTAGGGGAATGGGAATGTCTGGGTAGCTCCTTTGGATTGCTATTTTTGTTGTTGTTTGTTTCCTCTGTGTCTGTGGCTTGTTTTTTCTAATGCTGTTTAGCCCTCATCCTATTTTACTGACCATGGCAACGAGGGGTCAGGCTAAGCCGTGCTCAAAGAGTGGCCCTTCATTTGTTGCAGAAATGAAGGAGGTAATTAAACACAAGAATTGTTAGGAAGGTTACAAATCCCTCTCAATCTGTCGTTGATTCTTTTTTAAAGTAAAAGCACTTACTTATCCAGCATATTTTTCTGTTTCAGAATCTTGTAGACTTCAGCTGAGGTCTGAGGACCTTGCAGCTTCTGTCCGTTCAGCATCTCATTTTCCAGTTCCTCAATGGACTAGAAGAAAGGAGACCGATTGACTTGGATCAGATACCAGCAGTTATCAAGAAGGTAAACGGCTCATGATGCCTTTGTAAAACGGGGAAGGATTTCTTCATGCCTTAGTGTAAAATATTTCAAAACCCTCCTTACTTTTCCTGTGCGAGCAAAGGCTTCGGCTACTTTTCGGTTGCGTCCCCCATAGCAGGTAGTGATCAGGTCAGCGACGCCGCAGCTTTCCAGAAAAGTGGCTATTGATACTGATCCCTTGCAGAACATCTTGGCAAAGGCCACCATTTCCATCAGGCCCAGGCGTATCACTGCTGCCTTGGTGTTGTCACCGTAGCCCAGCCCGTCGCAGAACCCAGCTCCCACCGCCACGATGTTCTGGAAACGGGGCAGTGCGAACGAGAGAGGGGGAAAGGAAATGTTCAGGCAAGGTGTGTGGTTCAACAGCATGAGCTCAACTTGAAGGAAGCCCCACAAATCTCTTCATTAGAACAAGGGTCACTTTCTAAACGCTGCAAGTTTGACACGAGTAGGACATGAGCAAACAATGTGAGCTTGCAGCCCAGAGGGCCAGCTGCATCCTGGGCTGCCTCAAAAGCAACGTGGCCAGCAGGTCAAGAGAGGTGATTCTGCCCCTCTACCCTGCTCTTTTGAGACTCCACCTGGAGTACTGTGTCCAGCTTTGGAGCCCTCAGCACAAGAGGGACATGGTCCTATTGAAATGAGTCCAGAGAAGGGCTACAAAAATAACCAAAGGGCTGGAGCACCTCTCCTACAAAGACAGGCTCAGAGAGCTGAGATTGTTCAGCCTGGAGAAGAGAATGCTCCAGGGAGACCTTATAGTGTCCTTCCAGTACCTGAAGGGGCCATAGGAAAGCTGGGAAGGGGCTGTTTACAAGGTTGTGTAGTAATAGGACAAGGAGCAAGGGCCTTAAACTAGAGCAGGGTAGATTCAGATTGGATATCAGGAATAAGTTCTTTACCATGAGGATGGTGAAGCACTGGAACAAGTTTCACAGAGAGGTGGTGGAGGCCCCATCCCTGGAGATGTTCAAGGTCAGGCTTGACAAGGCTCTGAGCAACCTGATCTAGTTGAAAAGGTCCCTCTGCACTGCAGGGGAGACTGGACTAAATGACCTTTAAAAGTCCCTTCCAACCCCACACATTCTATGGTTCTAAGTTTATCTCATGAAGAAGGTAGCCAGCTAGTTTCTGTTGAACAAAACTAGATGGACTTCTAGAAGATTATTATAAATTATCCACTGTTATTCCCAAGGGCAAAAATCAAAGTAGCTTGTTTAACATAGTAATATTTAACATGCAATCACCTAGTATGTATGCAACTCATGGTTTGTCTTTCTGCTAGTTCCAAGCTGGGACTTCGTGACTTTTTAACTATTTAAAATATTTAAAATATTTAAAAACGATTTAAAATATCCCAAAAGGAGTAATGCCTTTCTAGACTTTCTCTGTGAGTCTTTAATTTAAACAGGCATGAGTTCTATGTACAGGTGATGCAGTAGATCAAAATTCAGTTTTCTCTACAAAAACCATCAGAAGAAATGCCCTTTTCTACAGCTCTGAACAAATCTCTCAGGATCCTAAGCATCTTCACAACTCCTCACCATTGTCCTGCATGTCTCCCTTCCCACCTCCCAATTTCCACCCCCTAAAAAGTCTTGAAATATTTGTATTTCACTGTATATGAGTACATATGTCACTCAGTACTGCCACTGAAGTGTTTGCTCCAGACATACAGATTCTAATTTGTTTAGCAAAGGCAATTCCAGAGCAATGATTTCAAGAACAGCAAAGATTTCCTACAAAGCGGAAACCTCTCTCCCCTCTTGCACTCTGCTCCAGCTCCAGTCTGTGGCCAAAAGCAAAATCTGGGGGATATTTGCTTTTGTATGTAAAGAAACTTTTCTTTTTGTATCTAAGGTTACAGTGGACCAATTCTTTCCTAGCCAGTAATGCCCCTTCTGCAAAGAAAGGTGAATTATTGAAGTGCAAATTATTGAATATATAAATAAGTACAAAGAATCACAAGCCAGAGTAAATTTTAGGATATTTGAAATTCACTCAAGTGTCTCCTCATTGGAAACTTGGTGATTTTGGTATCATTTCTGATCCAGCCTGGGATCTTGATGTGGACACAGCACGCTGTTTCTGATGTGCACCTTCTAGTTACTACACCAGCCATGGAAATAAGTTATTAGTGGGAGCTCCTTTCTGTAGTAAGAGTCTTTGTTCCATGTGCTTGCAACACGCAGACAAGGAAACACAGTGGACTAAATTCTGCCCTCTGAAGCAGAGGTGCCTCCAGTAAAATAAAGATCAAAATACAACTACTTTGAAATGCTGTCCCAGCAGTTGTATTTTTAAGTAAATGTTCCCTTTTTTACAGGTTGGATGCGAACTTCACATCTTGCCCGTGCTCACTGAATGACATGATGGCAGGACTCAGACCCTGTGGCTTACAGAAGATGCAGGTAAGGGTGGAAATTGGCCCTAATAAAAACATTTTGGTTTGAAACCACTCACTTTTAAGGCTCCACAAAGCTCCACTGTATCAGAATCAAGCACCACGGTAATCCTGAAATTGGGCGTCTGCATTAACTCTTTAAAGATCTCCCCTTGTTTTTTGTTTTTGCAGCCTGTGGGAAGGAAAGATGACAGTTAGAGGATTTTTTCCCAATGTTTCAGAGTACACACAATTAACTGAAACCTGAAATAAGGTCCCAGGGATCACTTTACTTAGACCACAAAGCCTAACTGGGTGTTGCTACGCAAGAGTTTTGTTCCTGCTGCTGGAAGCCAGTGTTAAATGTATGCAAGTCCCAGGCATTGACCAAGTATCCCTTCATAATAATTTAAATAACTTAAAAGTATGTACTGGCTAATGCAGCTTCCTGCCTGAGAAAGCCTGTATAACCACAAACCTTGCAAAACATAATATTTACAAGTCTCTTTGTACAGCACAAGGGTGTAATTGCTGCTTTGAAAATGTAAACCGGTATAATTGCTTAGTGTTGTTATGGGGCACAATGATTAAGGCCCAATTAATTTACAATTAAGGGAGATCCACAGATTATGAGGTTGAATGCTGGCTCAAACATTTTTAGTACCAGTTCTGCTGGGGTCATGTATCATGTCACTGCAGCACTGACTGTAGGTGTGGAGAAGAAGGGTAGGGAGCCCTTGGACGTAAAGGCCTCTGGCCCAAGGGGAAAAGACTTTTGAATGGAGTTTCACCTAATTTTTATCTGAGTCAGCTTGGTTTCCTTCAGGGAGAGCTTAACAGTGAGTTTAAGTAGCCTGAGGCACCACACTCTGGCAGCTCTGGGGTTTCTGCCCCATCTCCCAAGCAACTTTGGGTTTGCTTCTCGTTCTTCACAAAAATTGATGTTGGGGATATTCAGTCTCTTTGAGGTGGCTGTCTCTGGGCTACATGGCTTTCCATGAGGACAACAGCAAGGGCCAGAGCTCTTTGCAGTCATCATCACAGCATGGCTTCAAACTGGGACAGCAGAAGTTAAATTCCCCCCAAGAAAATTAATGTTGCTCAACTCCCCAAATCATGTCGGGTCCTATTGCTGCCCAGTTGCTCTGTCAGCAACAATACCCAGCTGGTACAGTTTTCACTATTACTGTAAACTTTGCAAAGCAAAGGAACAGTATTGCAGCAATAATGTATTTGTTTGCCTTCCCTAGCTATGGAAGGATGTAACTGTAATTTTTGCTTATTTTAAAAGTTAATGGGTTTTAAAAACTACTGGATGAACTTCCCCAGTCAGGTCAGACCCAGTTCTGGGAGGATCTGAGGCTATGTCTTGGCAAGCAGGCTGAATGGGAGGGAGGAACAGAAAATTACTGGGGATTTTTTGTTCTTTGGAGTTGTTTGGTTTTGGTTTTTTTTACAAATAAATTTGAAGATGGAAAAATACACCTCAGGGAGCATGAGCACATCTGAGCTTCTGATTTTAGTTCTCTGTCTGGACTGTCTAGTGCAGCAGCCACCGATGTGCTCAGGGTTGAGCCGTACAGACATAAAAGGTGGCTTTTTCCAACTCCTACAGAAACAGGATTAAGCTGTAATTTTTTAATGGATGAAATTAGCTGTCAGCACTGAAAGCCACTGTCAGTTTGGATCTGATCCTGCCAAATCATGCTGCTTCCCTGAAGGAGCTCAGCAGGCACCGCGCTCACAGCACCACTCAGGAACAGCATGGGACCCACCACATCCCCCTGCCCCCTCCAGAGGTTATCCTGCTGCCCAGCCACAGGTGACATTAAAACACAGCTCTTTGCTCTGGTTTGCTCGTTGCAATAGTTACCAATGGTGGTTTCACAGAACTTCTCATCAGCCACTTCTTTGGCTATGTTGGCCCCCATAAGCACACTGATTTCTATCTGCAGTTTCTCTCGGATGAGGTCAGATATGAGCTTCAGGCCATCAGGACCCTCATCAATCCCCTGAAGAAAAGGTGACAGTCAAAGCCAAGTTATTAGAGTAGGAAAATTACAATGGTGTAAAGCACTTCTGATAAAGCAGAAGGTGCCCTATTGCCTGCAGCTCTCTGGTTTAAATTGTAAGGATTTTGGCCTTACATTCACTTGCATTAGCCATTCATACAAATGCTCTAGGTTTGTACTTTTGATAACTGCAAGTTCAAGGAGAAAGTAGGGACAGTCAAGGTAACCCTGCTGGTGGCCTCTCAGCCACCACTGCTGTCCTGAGGCTTTCTTTGACGCTGTGTTTTTCCTTTGTATTAAACTCTTGTGGTACAGAACCAGACTTTTACATTAAGCCTACAAGCAGTGGCTTTTTTGCAAGAACTAAGTATTTATCTGACTGCTTTGTTGGTATTAAGGAGTGCATTGAACTGTCTTGGGGTGCTTTTTTTTTTTAACTAAAGAAACAAGTGAATTTGCAGGAATTTCCTTCCTCTCCCACTCTCCTCTGTGTACTGGTGCTGGTAATGCAATTGCTATAGAGAGAAAACAAAAAAAAGGGGGGGAAGAGCTGGTATTGCAGTCTGAAAGCCTGAATTACATTTCTTATTTTAAATTGGGTATTTCCTGTAATGCAACCAAAAGACTATATTCCTACACTCTGCCTCTGGTGTTTAGTTTGGGATTCTCTTAAAATACAAATTCCTTTTAAGATTATGATAATCTGCTACTTATAACCTTAAAAAGAGATTCCTCAATTCATGTCAGCTTGAAATTGCTTCAGTTCTGCAAAATCATTAGTGTTTATGTGCCATTTTAATGCAGCCAAGAACAGCTTTAGCATGTACTTGGAAGAGGCAATTTGACCCAGCCCTCTTCCCAGTTAAGAGTTAATTGAGGTTGTACTCTCATGAGTATTTTTTCTGGCAGCAGCAGCAGCACCAGCTTATGCAGCCCTCCCTCTGCCCATTTTCACCTCCTTGCTGGTCCAAGTGGGAACCAATCCAGGCTAAAGATGGTTGGCAAAGAGGGTGACTCTGAGCCTGGCTGGGTTGCCCCATCCTTTTCTCTCTGTGTCCCCGTGAGCAGCAGAAGGCTGGCTGAGTTTTAACTCTTGCAGAAAGAAATGCTCATGTTTATGCAGGGCACACAGCTGAGGCCTGGAGCTCCTGCCCTTAAGTCAAAGAGAGTTATTTGCTCCGTACAGATCCAGTCTTGTGGAGATGATAACTTACCTTGATCAGGGAAATCCCAAATGTCCCGGGTTTTATCTGGCCTGCAATCTGCTCGCAGACTCGACCAATGAACTGATGTGGCAGAACAAACACTAAAATGTCTGCCCCATTTGCTGCTTCAACCACATCTGGTACAGCCACCTGGAACAAGAGCAACAGCTGAAATGAACCTCTTCGTGCCAGGTTGGAACCCTCACACCCTGCAAGATACCAACGTGCCCAAGCCATGGAACACTGCAAATGTCTTTAATGTTAAAAGGCAGTGTGGCATAGCTGCTAGCTCTTCATGCAAGCAACTGCAGCTCTCTCCTAAAATATCCAAAGCAGCCTGTGGTAGGTTTGAGTTTTTAAAAACTTTGCTTATAACTTGCCTTCCATCCTAACCCTGTATGGATAAAGATGATAGATTTTCTGAACTTGCCCTGGCCTGGGAAGCCCTTTTGCTGGTTCTGCTTCTTCAGGTAGTTCCTGAAGATACTGAGCAACCCCATATGGTTCTGCTGGAATAAGTGGTAGCACCAGGGAACCCAGGAATGAAGCAGGGTGGTGAGACAGAGCCCCTTCTGGCTGTCTTTAGTTTCCATAGGTCACTAGCTTAGAGTTATTCAGGAATAAACTATCTCAAAAGGCACAGATGATAATAATATTTGGGATGAGATGGTTGTTTGTGTTAAATGTATAGTAACTTGACCAATAATTAGAAAAAAATTACCCATCAAGCTTTAGTAACTAGCAAGTTCTATCTTCCTCCAAATGCTAGTGTTACTCAGAAGAACAATTCAAGCTGGACTACAGAGGCCACAGCAGATGACCTTGAGCCTGCTGTCACCAGCAGTTTGAAATCAGAGCAAATGTCCCCCTTGGATGCAGCCTTGGAGCACACTGCCATAGAGCAAACAGGATTCCCAGTGGGAGAACCAAAACTGCTGCCAGCAAAGCTGCTTCTCTGGGAAAACATCAAAGCAGGAGCAGGGCAGAGGCTGGCAGTGCTGTACAGGCAGTGCTCTGGTTTCTCAAAAATGTCACAGAGCAATGCAAGGCAAAAATTAGGTTTTGTTTGTGGTGGTTTTTTCCTCAGTTGGAGATGAAGGTGTGAGGGTCCCTTCAGGCTTTACTGCAACCAGCTGATTTTTGCTGGTGAAACCTCAGACTGCCTACAGACAGGAAGAGGCTGATCTGATGATAAGCCTGATGATGCGTTGCAGGGTCATAAAAATAAGTGACATGTCAATTGTAACCCAGGAGAACTGTGTGCCAAGTTCAAACCACAGGAGTGCAAACATGCAGTTGCAGCACTAAATGGAGTACTGAATATAGACACTGTCCAAGCAAGGAGACCCACCACGTGCAGTGTCTCAACTTCCTTCTACAGCTGCAGCTGTTCCAGAAACATGGTGCTACTTTCTTTAATTCACAAAACATTGGCATTTGGCAAAATCTTAAGCAAGCACAGTGAGGGGCTTTAGCTGTTTAGGTAGCAGTAAATTATCTAAGCTGATTAATTTAAGTAAAAACGCATAACTTGGTATTTTAAATGTTCACGAAAAATAAATACTTTATATTTTGGTGGAATTTACAGCATTATTAATTATAGCAGTGTGTTGCTCTCCTGAAGTCACCCATAAGTCAATACCTTATTATTCATCTCCTTGTAAGCCACAGCTGTTGGCTGTGCTGTTGAGTTCTCTTTTAGAAGCAGGGAGAACAGTGGCTTTCCCCTTTTTCCCAGAAGATGCTGTGGGTTTGCAATATCTCAGCTCAGTGCAGACAGATCTCTGGCTGCCATTTCTGGAATTATGCTGGTCTTTGCCAGTGAGGAGGATGGTGCATTAGCAGCACCTGACACACCTGGGTGTTTCAAGTTGCATGTGACACACAAGACAAGTAGAAGTCCCAGCAGTGAGCTATATGTCAATACTGGAGTGAGTTAAGTGGCAAACCAGAAGGAAGTAGTGTGAGTTAAGTGAGTTACGTGAGCTATATGTGAGTTAAGTGGCAAACCAGAAGGAAGTAGTGCATTACTTCCTAGTTTTTAACTTTGCCAGATGTTGCCTCCTTTATTTTTATCTCTTACATTTCTGTGATGATTTTTTTTTCTCCAACTTACCACATTTTTTGGTATCTTGTATCCAGGCAGATATTTAACATTTTCATGTTCCTGATTCATTATCTCTGACAGTTTTCTTCCATTGATGATCTCTTCAAATACCCATATCTTGACAGTAGGATCAAATCTGTTGGACTTCTGGACATTTTTGCCAATGATTCTTGCTATGGCTGATCCCCTTTAAAAAGAAAAATAGTTGAAATAATAAGAAACAAATAGTTTTCTTGTGAATTGGAAAACACTAATAACTTCAAAGATAGTATCTTCCAAAAGCTGTTCAGCTGTTCAGGTTCTTGCTACACTTATAAGAAAGAAAATCCTCCATCAAAAAAACCTCAGGTTAAAAACACAAAGTAGAACTAGAGAAAATATAACTATAATAAGGGATCTGAAGTCATGTCAAATCTTATAGAGTGGGAGTACCATCAATAGCACTAACCATATAGTTTCTGGGATTAAAATCTTTCTTGCTTCTTGGATAATTCTTTTTTTCTGAAGATCTAAAGATGTCAAATAGTCCAGGTGGCAAAGCAGTGCTGAACGACCTTGCTGTGACAGTCTTTGTGCATCTCATCTAAAATAGATGCATCCCACTTTCCCACCAATAACCAAACAGTTGCCATAAGGGTTTTATGTAAGAGATAAATCCTCAGGAATCATTATTTTCTTAAAATAATCCTCAACCCGATGGTTTCTCTTTATTTATTGTTCTAATTATCACTGTAACAGGATCTGCAGTAGTTGCAGCCTGAGGGCATTCTAACCATGCAGTTTACTCTGCTTCAGTCATGCTGAGCATTTTTAAATCTCAGTTCAGACAACAATTTTATTTCCCCATCACCACTGCAGTCTTGCAACCATTCAGTTATTTTCTTGGCAAGAGAGAATTAAAAACCCCACAGAAAATACTTGAAGTATCACTTATGCTGTTTGAATTACATGGGGAGGAAGGGTGATTATTTTTACTCTTCTGTTGCCTCTTTCCATTTTAATACTACTTTAATCTTTAAAATACTGGCCATTTTATTAACACAACTGAATGGGAGCTTCAGCCTGCAATGTTCTTGTCCTCTGACCCACTTGTACAATACCTGCATGAACAGGATTGAGCTCTGGCATGTTTTCTGGAACCAATAAAGGTCTCAAGTATATCCAAGACAAAGTCCAGGTAGGTTTGTGCTGTCCATGGTTCAAAGGGAAACCACATTGTAACTGGTTCTCCTTGGCTCAACCTTTTTTTTTTTTTTTGATGTAACAGGTTTGCACAAGGCTAAATTGCTCAAGAAGTAATAAAAGAATAAGGGCTTCATCCTAATCTGTTGATAAAGAAATCCTACTTAGATCAAGTTTCACATTCCTCAGTGTTGTATCTGTATCCTGAGGGACTGTAATGCTTTTGTTCTAAAAGAGGGTTATTGGGTTTGGCCGTTTAAAATACACAGAAAAAGGTTTTAGGGGTGAAATGTTAGAGGGGTGAAGCTTTACTATAAGAGGAGTATTCTCTTTAAAATTACTTACATTCTGGCTCTCTTGTCCTGCTTTGAACAGAAAGCACAATCAAGGCCTGAGCTGAGGATGAACTGTGGCTCAGCACAAGAAATGTGTATTAAGAAGAACAGTTATTTTTTTTATGGATAACCCTGAGATTGAAAGTCATTTTCCGGGTTGTGCTGAAGACTCCCATCAGGATTAGCTGTTCTCTCAGTAGATAAACCTGATCTTCCAGCAGAGCTGTCATTACCACTTGAGTGGATGTTGCCACTCAAGTATTTTTCTATTGACAAGATGTTTTTGAAGATATCTCAGGTATAAAGCTCCATAAATGTCAATATGTTAATTTAGTTTCTCTTTAGATGAATGAGGATTTGGGGGAGAAAAGATTTAATGTTTAAAAGGCATTGAGTTGTCATCAGAGAAAATACTTCCCCAGAAAACTTCCAAACAGTTCAAAACCTGATGCTCAGATTTACTTAGTCCATTTAAAATTCAGTCATCGTTGATGAGCTTTGGGGAGAAGAACTGCTCTGTCTATGAAGGTGGTGTTCAGTAGACTACATAGGCTTGGCAGAAGAGGGCTGCTTATGCAAAGAAAACCAAGGACACTCATATATAAGACTTCACCATGGTTTTATTTTATCTGAAACTCAATTTAGTGAAGATTAACAGCAGGCAGAGGTAATCTTAAAAGGTGAAAACTGCCAATCTGTTCCTTTTCCCCAGTTATGTTAACTCATGTCAGAAGTGATTTACATACTGCTAAGAAAAAGACAGCTTTTATCTGGGTATTTCCTATCAGTATAATGAGAAAGCTTTGATGTAGAATGACTCAAATAAGTTCCATTATTTACATATGTGAATATGAAAGTGTTTGTGGCACACATCAGATCTGGTGAAAAAAAAGAGAGCTGAAGGGACCCCTGGAGCTGCTAGTCCCTTCCCAACACACAGGGCAGTCAAATATACTTATGACATCCCTAATAGTTTTTCTGAGGAGGTTTTAAAGACCTCAGCATTTGCAGGTGTCTTCCTTTCCCCAGCCAGCCCATCCCAGGACTTTCCTATCCTTAGCATTAGAAAGATCATCCTTGTGTTTAACCTAAGTCTTTCTTACTGCAGTTTAAGCCCGTTTCTCTTCTAGAAGGGTGAACTATTTATTTCTTCTTCTTTAGATGCTTGAGGATGATCATGTCTCCCTCCAGTCTCTTTCTTAACCAGCTATCCCAATGTTTTAAAATTACAGTATTGCTCAGGTTGGAAGGGGCCATGAGAGTTCTCCAAAGTGGGAACACCACTGAGTTCATATGGGTTGCTCAGGGCTGTGTTCACTTGTCTTAAAATCTCCAAGGACCACCTCCTCTCTGTGAAACCTGCCACAGTGCTTTATTATTATCTTAGGGTGCTTCTTTCTCTCCTCTTTTTATATATTGAGTCAGAACCTCTTCTGATTCAATTGCGACTACTGGCTCTTGTTTTCCTTCCATGCAGCTCCATAAAAAGCCTGGCCATCTGTCCATGTTGAAGATGAGAAGCTGGTTCAAGCTGGATCTTTACTGAGGACTCTGCTGTCCAAACGGATTTAAGACTGGGACAGCTTTTGGATTCTGAAGGGACAGGCAGTGAATTAAACCTCTATTTTTAAAAACAGGTAACTGAACCATGATTAACATAAAAACAAAGCCTCCTGAACCTGGCTGGCAACCGCAGAAAGTGGTGCAGCTCTTGGCTTAACTACATCAGTCATGAGTCTCCTGGCAGTGTTGGTTTAGTAAGTCCCTCATGCCCTGCTGCATCTCTGCAGCCAACAGGAGCTATTGCAACACGCCATGTCCTGTGTCAGCCACGTTTCTGAGCTGCAGGAAAGGCTCACAAACAGTGGTCTGAACTGTCAGGAGGAACATCTGAAAAAATGTTTGCCAAAGGCAAACATTATAGTTCCGTGTTGTGCTGAGACAACCTGTTCTTCCACAGAGGCTATGAATAGATGTGATTGAAACACGATGTTTATCTCCTCCCCTGTAAGATTTTTACAGTCTAAGCTTAAGGTAGGAAGCAAAATATGGGCCCAGGGAGACAGGTGGTATGAATAAGTAGATAATATTGAGTGAGCTGGGGATCTCTGTGGCATAACTCTTCCCAAGTTTGTAGGCACACGTGAGAAAAAGAACTTTCTTGAGTACAGATCTGAAGGAAGACAGCTAAGTGGCTTTGGAGAGTGTCTCACAGCAAGGGGACTGCCTGGGAGGGGCAGGAGGTGCTCACGGGAGGGTGCAGCAAGCGGGTGATGAAGGCTGGCAGGGTGGGCTGGCCAGAGGTGGAAGCTGACTCCCAGGCATGCAGCCAGGGTTGTTGAGGGTCTTGGAAGTGGCCACGAACTGCCTGTACAGGCTCAGACACCTGTGTTTAAGGTGTGAGAGATGAGGGCAGCAGAGGAGGATGCAAGTGCTGGAATGACATGACGGCAACATTTGGGAAGCAGAACTGTGTCCATCAGGGCCAGGGAAAGCCAGGCATGTGATGGAGAGTTCCCAAAGAAGACTCAGCTGTGCAGGTACGTGTCAAGGGCTGTATCTGAGAGATATCACGTATGTGGGGGCTTGGAGCAGTGCACTGGTTTTTGCAAGGCACTAATGCAAAGAGCTGTGCTTTAACTCTTCTCAGCCACTCACAAGCAACCACTCCCTCACCTATCGATTTTTTAGGGCATTTTCTTCCACTTAGCTGTCAGGTATTTTTCTCCTTGCACAGAAAAATTCCACAGAACTACCTAGGGGCTGGGTTTGCTAATGCCAAGCACATGCACATACTTGTTGGGCTGTTTGCTTCTGCTCAGCTTACATAAACTGTAAGAAAAGTAAAATGCAAAGTCCAGTGAGACAGTGTCTGCAGACTTGAATGGGGTCTGTCAGACCTGAGGAGCTCTGCAGACCTTTTGTCTTGGCTAAGAAGGACTGAGTAGTAGCAAATGTGTTCTTATGGGTGGGATAAGGATAAAAAGGGGGGACAGGCGGATTATTACGAAGGCTGGTCGTTCTCAGTGTGAAAAATGTCATTTTGCATCATGGTGCAGACTCAGCCTTGTACAATAATCCCCCCAGGGCTGTGGTGGATTCCCCAGCATTGGACACTGTTAAAGTTCAGCTGGACAGGGTGCTGGGCCATCCTGTCTAGACCAAAAGACTGGACCCGATGATCCTTGAGGACCCTTCCAGCCCGCTATTCTATGATAACGCTGAGCAAGGTGGCAGTGAAAGGTGCCAGTAAGTCGTGGCTTTAACTGAAGCCCGTGTCGCGGTTCCTTTAAAAGAATGCAAAGAGCATCACCACCCTCCTCCTGCCACTGGATGCTTCAACCCGAGCCTCCTGGGCCCTGCCCGCAGCCCGGCAGCCCCGCAGCCCGGCAGCCCC